GAAATGGCAACCCACTCCACTATTCTTGCCTAGAAAATCCCATGGACAGAGCAGTCTGGCAGGCTACACTCCACAGGGTCACAAAGAATAGAACACAGCTGAGCAACTGAGCATGCACACACCCCTCCATGTGATTCTGAAATTGGCTAAGGTTTAAGAAACAGTAATCTGGGCTTCCTTGGTGGTTAAGACTCCGAGCTACCACTGTAGGGGGCGGGGTTCAATCTCTGGTCAGGGAACCAAGATCCTGCAGGCTGTAGGGGCTGTGCGACGCAGCCAAAAAAGAAACAGTAATCTAACTCAATTCCTTTATTTCACAATCAAAGAATCAGAGGTTGAGTAAATGCCTACTCAGGATTCAAACTTGTTAGCAGCCCCAGCAGTAAACCGCAACTCCTCACCCAGACAGTTTGCTAAGCATGGCCTTGCAGGAAGAGGTGGAAATCCTGCAAAGGTATCTCCCTGCAGCCTGACACATGAGACCTCCTGCGGCACTGCAGAAAGCATTCCAGGACTGGCTGAGTATGTTTCTCAAAATTGGTCTCTCCTCTGGATTCCCAGGTGGTGCAACAGTGAAGAATGTGCCTGCCAATACACGAGTTCAGTGCCTGAGCTGGGAAGATCCCCTGGAGTGGAAAAGGGCAACACACTCCAGTATTCTCACCTGGAAAATTTCATGGACAGAGAAGCCTGGTGGGCTACAGTCCATGGGGTCACAAGGGGTCAGACACGACTAAGCACACATGCGCAGTCGTGGATCCCAGGTTTCCTAGGCTTTCATCCAGAGTACCTCATTTTTACTGATGTTACTTTGTAAAAGATAGGGTAATAACATGATTAGTTTACAGCTGAGCTTCTTTATTTTTTTTTAACTGTTATCATGAGATCCGTTTTTAATATGCAATCACTTGGAGTTAGAAGAGGGCTTGTTTTTAGAGTCATGGTTATTATTACTGTTATTCATGTTGATAGATAAATGTTGATTTCAGATTTTAAACCTATGAGGTTGACTGAAATAGAAAGCAGTTTATCTGTGTTAGAAAATAAACATGTGCCAACCCTTTGTATGTGGGAAACCCTCCTCGATTGCTTATTTTTTTAAAAACTAGTGAAAAAAGCCACAAAAGATTACTGTGGAAAAAAACTGTTTTTTATCTCTGATAAATGAGTGTAGAATGTTAAATGGAAAATAAATCACACTTATTTGCCCACTTTTTTTTTTTCTTTTTAAAGTAAGCACAGCCATAATATTGTTAAGCCACGTCCTGATGTCTCTGCCCGCCACCCTCTGGGCTAATTTTGTGGGAATTAAGGCCCTTAATTCCAAAGGAGAGTTGAGGCCAACTTGCTTTTCATGGGAAAATAAATGAGCAGGATGAGAGCTGGCGAAATCATCATCTATAGGGAGATGGCTGCATGTGGGTCTAAGTTGCTTAACAGGCCAAGGAGGGGAGAAATCTCAACCAAACAGGTCTGCCTGCAGGACTGTCCCAGCTGCTAGTGCCAAGAAACTCTGGAGAGAGCATTTTTCCTTCCACTTTTAATGCTATTTGTGTGATTTCTGGAAATCACACTGCATATCTGAGTACATATTTATGTCCAGATTTCTAAGGAAGTTAAATGATATAAATCGTGACTGATTTACAACTGTATTGCTATTTAAGTTGCCATCCTTTGAAATATCTCTCTATGAAGAGGCAACAGTCAACATTTTGGTGACTGGGTTTTCATAGACTTTCTTATGCATACACAGTAGCATACACACATATAGACAGTTTTACATAAATAGATTCATATGCCTGCTGTCTTATCATGGATATCTATTTTTAAAAGCATTTTTGCCTACTTCATTTTTCTTTCTAATCACCTTCATCCCTAAAGTAGCCAGCCTTGAAAGTTTAATGTGTATCCTTCCAAATCTTTTCTCATTGTATAATCACACACACACACATATAATTATTATTATGGGCAGAACATAGAACAGAACCAAGTATTTAAAACAGTGTCTGCAGCATTATAGATACTCAATATTTATTATATGAATGAATGGTTTGCTTCATAAAAGTGGGATAATTACATGCATGTATATATAATTATTATAATAATTATTCTCTCTATATAATTACCCCATCTTTCTGTATCTGGCATTTATCCCTCAAAGCCTCTAGGTAATCTCTCCATATAGATTTAATTAATTCTTATGAATGGTTGTATAATATCTCACAGTTATGAAAACAACACCAACATTTAACTATATCCCTAATTGATAGTCAAGATGAATTTATTTTTGTTACTATAAAAAATAAGAGCTAACACCTATTGTGTTCCACAGACAAAGCATTTTTTTGCAAGCACTTTATATGTATAAAGTCACTAAATTAAGATTATTCTCTCCATTACAGTAAACTGAACAAGAGCAGATTAAGAAACTTTCCTAAGGCTATAGAGACAGAAGGTGGCAAACTAGTCAGTGGGCTCCAAGGTACCTTTCACGGAACTAGTTCTATACAGAGCAGTTGTCAGCACAATTGCACTTGCATCCTGATAGAATGGTGCCTTATTTCTAGGTGACAGTTTCCTGGGAGTGGAAGAATGTGTATATTTCATATTGATAGACTGCTTTGCAAAAAGAGTGTAAGAGTTTATATTTCCATCAAAACAATATATGAGAGTGCTCTTCTCTTCAAGAGACTATCATTTAAAAATATTACACATGTATTTTTAGCCAATGTGAACGGTGAAAAGTGTTATTTAATTGTTATGTCTCTGTGCTTTTCAGACAGTAGTAAGGTTGAGTGTCATATGTTTATCAGCCGTTCGGATCTGCTCTACTGTAAACTGCCATATGAGGGTTCTCCAGAGACACAGAATATATAATTACTTAGGTGATTATGGAGGCCTGGAAGGTCCAAACTGTGGGCTTTGGGGCAGGGTGGGCCAGCAAGCTGGAACAGTTGATACTGCGGCCCAAGTCCAAAGGCTCTGAGGCTGAAGACCCAGCCCTCCTGCCAACACACTTGCCACAACTAATCCTTTGGGTATGGTAGCCTTTCTGGAGCTATTAAAAGTCAGACTGCCTGGACCTGAAGTCTAGCTCTTCACTTATTAGTGATCTGAGTTCCTTAAAGTAAGGCTCTCAAAACCCTGCTTCATAGGGCTTCTGGGAAAGCTTCTCACTTTGTAACTTTCACCTGTTATTTGTTCTATTTTAGGGATTGTCGGTTTTTTTCTTTCCTTATGGCTTTGCCAGGCGAAGGGGGCCACAGCGGGCTAACGCCCTCAATCCGGGTGGCCGCCCTGGGGTAGTGTTCGAGGGGCAGGGCTGGCCAGCCCCTGGACGATGCTGCGACTGGCTGGCATCAAGGCAGAGTTTCACGCATCAGCAGCCTCCTTGTTTCAACCAGTGTGGGGTCTATGTTCTTACCGTCAGCAGTTTTTATTTAGAGGGGGTCTGCTTCCTGTAAAAACGACTTAGGAATGTGGATCAGGCCTTTATATCTTTCAGGGACCTGTGAGTGTGGTGAGTCCTTATGTGGCAGGATTATAGTCTAAGATGTAACCAGTTTCTAGCCCAACAGCTTTCCTGTTTCCACATCTTCACATTTCCCAATCATTAACTTGTGAGCCAGTGTTTTACTTTGGAAGACAAGGACACAGGGACTTGTTTAAAGATCAGTGCCTGTCATTTAGAAGACACACAGGATTAAAGCAGAAATCTTTACATAATCATGTGTCTTTTGATCTTCTGTCCCCAAGTAATTGATTTTATATCTGTACCTTATAAACGAGTATCTTTTATAGAAGATACAGGAGGCCGGGCTTCCGATAAACGTTCCCCATTTCATTAATGTGAGAAATCCAACCTGTCAAATGCTTTCTCTATTTGTGCTGCAGAAAAACTTAAAAACGGATAGCAATAAGACAATTTAACCAAAGAACTACTATCTTTGTCGCGTGTAAGAACTTTTAGGTTCCTAGCAGCATAGATTTATAGTAAGGACATCGTGACATCAGCCACGTATACTGTGTTGGGGTAGATAGGAGTTAGTCATTCTCCTAGCCGCTCAGCAGTAGAGAATCCGCCTACTAATGCAGGAGTCCTCCCCCCTCCCCACCCCGCAACGCCCCTCAGCCCCTGCCACTGGATCCGTGGTTCCAGAAGATCCCCTGGAGAAGGAAACGGGTAACCCATTCCAGTATCCTTGCCTGCAAAATCCCATGCACAGAGAAGCCGGCCGGGCTACAGTCCATGGGGTCACAAAGAGTTGAATTTAGCAGGCTGAACAAAAGGCTAGGTGAAATACTTCAGAACTGTCGCTTAATTACTGTATCTCTGCTTAGAAATGCCAGGACCCTAGACAGTAACCACCAAAAACAATGACTTTGAAAACTTATTAATACCGTCCAAAAAAAAAAAAATCAATCTTAAAGAGCTTTGCTTTAACTTCGTCTTTGTTTCAAGGATTAGAAATAATGTTAAAATACCCTCCGACAAAATAGTCTCACAATAAATGGTATCTATTACTGTTACTCCTTGCTGTCAAGGCTCATAGATTCTCATATCTGTACCACCTCCCAACGCCTAGCACATATTGGACAATCATATAAATATTTACCGAATGAGTGAAGAACTGATAGCAATGAGATTCAAGTGGCACTCTAGCTAAAGCTTGGAGTCTCACTTCCCGCATTAGACCCTGAGTCCATGAGAAAACGAAGGATAAAAACCTTCTCCGACTTGCTGCCTGGGCTAAATTATTAATTGCCAACGCGCAACGGAACTCCGTAGTTACACGCGCCAGGTCAAAGCAGTCTCCAGCTCTCCCTTGGCTACGCGGGAGCAGACCAGAAGTTTATGCAAATACACGGGCTCTAGCGTACGCACGCGCAGAGCGCGCAGAGCTCCTCTGCGTTCGGTGGAACTCAATTTGAGTACGCGGATTACAGCCGGGAGGATTTACGGAGGTTTCGCTTCCGGTAGCACCGGAAGCAGCTTGAAGATGGCGTCTTCCAAGCAGAATGGGCCGACTACAGCGTCGGGGAAAACGGAATTTCGTGGCGCGAAGCCGACGTCGGAGAACCGAGGTGAGGTTGTCTAAAAACCAAAGCCTGGAGTTTGTGGATTTTGAGTTGGGTTTTTTTTTGCTTTCGCTGGCTAGGAACGTGTAACGCCGCCTTGGGCCTGTTCTGTGAATTTGTGCACCTGTAATTGCTGATTTTGGGGGCTGTTGGCCAGACTTGCAGGACCGACCGGCCTGTACGGTGCCGGCCACGTGTTCTTAATTTATTGCTTCTGCTGAAAGTCTCTAAAGTAGAAGTGTTGCTGAGTGCGTGTTCTCTAAAAATATGGGGATTAAGAGCTTGAGGAGGGCGCTTCAGGGCCTTAAACTCGCGAAGGTGTTTGGAAGTCGTTGGCAGAATGAGGGATGAGGTGGGAGAAGGTGGTGGTTATGCATATGACTGAACGAGTGGTAGAGTGATAATGAAGGACTAAGACAGCAGTGGTGATAGAAGAGATCACCGGCGTGCCCTTAGCGTCAATTTATCAGCCGTTGAAAAAATTTTGGAACGTTTGTTATTATTCTTATTTGTCCGGTTGCTGAAGTATCAGCCAACCCAGCGCCTGCTCTTTCAACTGCGTTTTTTAAGAATTACTCTCTTGCTTTGCGCTCGCGCTCTTGTTTTATCCATTATCTTAAATGTGGTTGACAGAGAAATAGTCTGGGGCCTGCTCAGCCAGACTTACTGGAAGTATTAAAAACCTCAAACTTTGATTCTATAGGCATTAGAGAGAGAGTAAAAATGTTTTGTTGTTTTAATTAAGGGTATGGCAGAGGCCGGTGTATATACAGCTTAAGGAATAAAAACCAACAGGTGAAAAGCAGCTCGTCAGAGTGTTATAAAGAATAGAACATTACCAACCGAATCTCCAAAACCCCCTACGTGCACCTATCAGGTCATTCTAATGTTCTCTTGTATGAGTACGCGCTGATGTATATTTTCATTTTAATGTTGCTGGACATTTGGATTGTTCCCATTGTTTGTTATTATAAACAACGTGGTATAAACATCTTTATACATTTCTCCTGGTTAACATATTCTGGAGTGTCTCTGTTTATGTACATTACATGGGATTAGAATCTTTGTAGTGTAGGGTAGGGCGTGTGCAAATAATCATCTTTGCCAAAGAAGCTGTGGCACTTTATACTTCCAGAAGTAGTAGGAGCACTAACACTTGGCTGTTATCTGAATTTTAAATTTGTCGTTTAGTTAAGTATGAAATCATATTGTGGTTTTAATTCAAACTATCCTGATTGCTAATGAGGTTATCCATCTTTACACATGTTTGGGGGTTATTTGTTGTTTTTGTATTGTGAAACTAAACTTTTATTTCCTTAGCCAGGTTTTTTTCTTTTTCTTTTTTACATTCACATCCAATGAGTTGTTTAAATTGGTAGGATCTTGGACAGATAGCTTTTTGTGGTGGTTTGGTCGCTAAGTCGTGTCTAATTCTTCCGACCCCACGGACTGTAGCCTGCCAGGCTCCTCTGTCCATGGGATTCTCCAGGCAAGAATAACGGAGTGGGTTGCCATTTCTTTCTCCAGGGCATCTTCTGACGCCAGGGATCAAGACTGTAGGCATATTCTTTACCAACTGAGTGAGGAGGGCAGTCCAGATACCATTTTAAGTAGTCACTATTGCAGAATTTGAGGATTTTTTTTTCCCCAGAATATTGAGGAGTAAATGATAAATGAAGACGAATTCTCTGTGACTTGAACCCTAAATAACAGAGTGGATGTGAGTAAAAGAAACAGAAAGCAATTATATCTGACTGGGATGGCTAAAATGGACTATAAAGACCTGCTTCTTAAACTTTAGTATGCATAAGAAGCTCCTCATGACACCATTAAGACAGATTTCTGGGCTTCAGCTCAGAGGTTCACATTTAATAGGTCTGGATGGAATGCAAGAATTGCATTTCTGACAAACTCTGTATTTATGCCTGTGCTGCAGGCCCATGGATCATACCTTTGTGTAATAGTGAGTTAAAATAGAGCTGTTGGATTTAAGAGATTGTTAAATCCAGGACCAGGCGTTTTAATAAATGATATAGGAGACAATTTATGGCCCTTAGGAGGCATTTTGTTTTAATGAGAGGAGACCTAGACTGAGTCAGCTTCACATTCCCTTACACGAGTCACTCAAACGTTTTGAATGGAATATCTTTTCTAAAGTGGAAATAATAATACCAGTTCTTCCTTTCATAGTTTTGATGAGAGTATACAGAAGGAGGTCACGTGAAAGCTCTTTGGAAATCCTAAAACCCTATTGTAGTGAATATTAACTGAAGGTATACACTGGAATCAGTTTTTGCTAATTTTATGTGTACACACATACAAATATATATACACATAAGCTCCACTTCAGTTGAGTCTGAAATGTTACTTTATTTTAAATAGTAATGTAAACAAAATAGTATTTGGATCCTCAACTCTAAAATAGTGTAGTGCAATAGAAGTTTGTGAGTATCCACTATATGCCAGGTGTATGCCAGTACCTGTGGACCCAAGGAGCAGAGTCCCCGCCCTCATGGAACTCTGTCTGTGATGCAACTGGCACACACACGGATAGTTTTAGTACAGTATGCTGATAATGCCAGAGGCGTGTTCTTGGACTGTTGAATAGTATAAAAAGCAGGGGAGACGGAAGTGCAGAAAGTATTGGGAAACTTGTGCATGTATGCGTACAAGTGTTCAAAAAATCTTCAAAAGAAGTTAAATCTGATGTGTAGATTTTTCCTCCTCTGTAGATGAATCTGAACTCCTCACTGTGCCAGATGGTTGGAAGGAGCCAGCTTTCTCCAAAGAGGACAATCCCAGAGGACTCCTGGAGGAGAGCAGTTTTGCAACTTTGTTTCCAAAATACAGAGAGGCTTACTTGAAAGAGTGCTGGCCATTGGTACAGAAAGCCTTGAATGAACATGTATGCGTGTTTTATATATTTCTCTGAGATTGTTATTGCTTGTATCTTTTAAGTAAGTGAATGTGTGATGATGGATTTCTGTGTAAAGGTGCTAGCATAGCTGTTCCATTTGATTCTTTTGGTATTTTAAGCAGACTAGATAAGCATTATCCTTACTGTTCATTTGATCTTAGTTTTGTGAATAACAGGTTACTTGGAAAAATTCACATACGTTTACATTTTTAGGGGATTTCAATTTGTAGGGGTATCTGAAACTCGGAAACTCCAGGTTTCAGAATCACTATCTGCTGTGATGGTTGCCATTAGCCTGTACGGTGTGAGCTGAGGCATGCTCCCGGCGTTGTTGAACGTCTCGTTGTAAATGAAAGATGATGGATGTGACCGACTTTCCTGTTTGTTGCTCCTGCAGTGCTCTTAGAGCAGTGTGTTTGATTTTATTTTCCAAACTGGATTGAGACCCTTTAGTGAATCAGGAAGTCAATTTAATGGCTATAGTGAGCCTTAGGAAAAAAATCTGTCACATGTGGTAAGGATCAGTATCACTTTATGAAGCTTCTGGTTTGTCTGTGTGTGTTTGTGTACACACAAGGTTGTGATAGAAAATCTGTTTCTCAGCTGTGGGACTGCTCCAGAGTCATTTGTGCCCACTAGGCTTGAGGGTGGTTAGCAAACCAGGCCGTGTTACAGCTGTCTACATCTGGGATTAGACCCAGTTTGTTTCTGTGTGTGTGTGTGTGTGTGTGTGTGTGTGTGTGTGTGTGTGTTTAAACTGATAGACAGCTAACCTGAGGTTTAACTGTTCATCATTCACTGTATTGAAATATTCTTGGTCATGCTCACAAGTTAGAAAATAGCATTTTTATTTGCTTTGCTGAAGTCTGGTTCTTTTGAAAGTTAATGCATAGATTCTCCCATTATTGCTTTTATTTTTAAACCTCTGACTGTTTTTACTTTGTATTTAGCTAACGTTGTTGGTTAGTCACTTGGTTGTGTCCATGGACCGCAGCCCACCAGGCTTTTCTGTCCATGAGATTTCCCAGGCAAGAATACTGGAGTGAGTTGCCATTTCTTTCTCCTGGGGGATCTTCCCAACCCAGAGATCAAACCTGAGTCTCTTGCATCTCCTGTATTGGCAGGCAATTCTTCACCGCCGAGCCACCAGGGGAAAGTTTGAAAGGGAAAGCCTATTTTCACTCTAGGGAGAAGATTTTAGATTAGAGCTACATCTAGCCAGGGTAGGGAAATTATAAGCTTTACATTTTTATCTTAAGTCTTAAATATGACCTCATTTTGATTGATGTGTTTTTTTTTAGACTGGAGGTAATATTTATTCCGATAAGTGTAAATTATCCTAAAGTCAACTATAAATGTTTTCAGTTACCTGAGTTTCTTATTTTCCTTGAAATCTAAACGTAATCAAGTATTCCTTATTTACATTAACTTTCCAGCTTCTTCAAGGAGAGAGTTAAAGGATTTTGAGATATCTTAATGGCACAGAAATTAATAGTTAGGCTAGGATAAGCTCTGTACTCATCTAAAATCGAATGCATTTTCAGATAACTGTTTGCTCACTCTTTTTGTAGCATGTTAACGCAACCCTGGACCTGATTGAGGGCAGCATGACTGTCTGTACTACAAAGAAGACATTTGATCCATATATCATCATTAGGGCCAGAGACCTAATCAAACTGTTAGCAAGGAGTGTTTCATTTGAACAGGTAAATTTAGAATTAAATTTAGAGTTTATTTGCTTTATTTGCATCAACTTTAGAGACAATATGTATCACTGCCACCACCACCTCCCCCCTAAAACGTTTTCATTTTTGTGCTTAAATTTCTTGACTTGGAAAACATTTGTACTTGTAAAGAATGTTGATGGGCTATTTTCTTTACTTTCCCAAAAGGCAATACGAATTCTTCAGGACGATGTTGCATGTGACATCATTAAAATAGGTTCTTTAGTAAGAAATAAAGAAAGATTTGTAAAAAGAAGACAACGGCTTATTGGTCCCAAAGGATCTACTTTGAAGGTACTTTTTATTAGTGAAAAAATATATCTTCCTCTACTGTTAGTTTTTTAGTGTACTGAAGTTCAACTTATTGCTCTTTTGATATAGGCATTGGAACTCTTGACAAACTGTTACATTATGGTTCAGGGAAACACGGTTTCAGCCATTGGACCTTTTAGTGGCTTAAAAGAGGTGAGATTTATGCTCTTAACTTAGTTTTAGCAGAGAATAAATGAAAGAATATGGGTATACTATAATAGTTCATTGGATAATGTATTGTTTCATAATTTTTAAAAATTGTGCTTTGATTTTCATTAGTAAATTCTTCATGTAATTTGAGGGAATAGCCACTCCTGAACCTTAACATATCATGGCCAGCTTTTGGTAATTACAGAGAGATTCATTTCTGAATTAGAAGATCTGTTCATCATTACTTCCCCTACTACAGGTTTTCAGTGGGTATTTTAAGATCTCAGTCTGTAGCAAACATTAGAAAACATGCGTTTAAATGATTGGAGAGTCGAGCAGATCTTGTTCTTTGCGGTAACAGATGCAGCCTCTAGAGGTCAGGCTCAGAAAGCGTCCCTCAAGATGTATTTTCTTTGAGTTTTAATATGTTAATTTAATGCTTCATGAATATTAGTTTGTCACATATTATGAGAAAATCTATAGAGCACATACTGTTTCTGTAAACTCCTTTTGAGGCTTTTGTTGTGTGTATCTGGCTGTGAGTTCTTACTTCCTTTCAGGGCCTTTAATAATACTTCTTTTGGACCTCTTTCTCTTAAGTTATCTGCTTTTTTCACATAGCGCAATAACAACTTAGGTGTTTTGAGTATTTCGTAGTTTTGTAGAGTCTAAGTATATTATTTAATTCTTACAACAGATCCTTAAGGTAGTTTTATTTCAAATGTATTACAGAATTCAAAAGCTGAAGTCAGGAGGAAAATTAAGTGACTTTCCCCTGTGAAGTCCCAGCATTTGAGCACGTATTTTCTAACTCTAAATCCAGGTTTCTTTCCCCTAAATTGCACAGCTCCAGACTGTTGTGATAATTCTGCATATCACTTTTTAGCAGTAAAATTGAGAGACTTCATTGTATCCAAGTGAGGTTAGCTGTTATGAATGACCCAGAAGCCACTCAGAACAGTTGAACGGACTGCTATATCCAGTTTGGTAGCCATTGCCTGGTTCGTAGGTTATTTTGCAATATATTAATCCTCTTCTACCTAGTTCACTAAAATCTTCATTATAAATAACTGATTCATTTTTCTTTGCAAATTTCAGGTTCGAAAAGTAGTCTTAGACACTATGAAGAATATTCATCCAATTTACAATATTAAAGTGAGTGTTCACTGTGCATTAGTATATTAGTGGTTATCAAATTGTTTTTAGCTACAGAAACCTTTCTTGAAAATAAATCTTTTATGAAAGTCTAATATACAAAACAGATAAAGCAGAACTATTTGGGTAGAGTTCAGCCCACTCAACACTATCCCAGTCCTATAGTTCCTTCTTTGAAAGCTTGGGTCTCTGAGGAGTAGAGTGTGAAAGAAAGCTGTTGAAGGGGGCTCTGTAATGTAGTGATTCAGTTCTGATATAAATAAAATATGCTTCATGGAATTTGTTGTAGAGGGTACCAGTTGAGTTTTCTTAGGCTAATGAGCCCACAGACTGTATTTAAAAGTGTGATCTTTTAGAATTCTGCCATTTTCTGTAAGTCTGGAATAATTCAGATTGCATTAAAACTTGTTTTGGAATTTAGCACTCAAGTTATAGGCTCATTGAGAGAGATGTTATATCCCTGCATGTATAACATTCAGTGATTGTTCTTGGAAATGTAACCACGGTATATAATGTTTTATGATAGGTATTTGTTAAATAGTCCTTGAATTTGATGAATTTGAAAAGTCATTCTTAGATTGGGGTGAAAAATGATTTGAGTTTCATTGGGACATTAAAGAGAGCATGTCTTGCATCTGATGCCTACTTTGCGTCCTGTGATGTTTCAGTGTCGATAAAATTCAGGTGGAATTGGGGGAAATGTGAAAACACTGGTTTCATTGATCATGAGAAACTTTAGTTTTTTTCTTTCCCTATGATGATCATACTTCATGTGCTACTGAAAGCTTCCTGCTTGTAGGAAACTTCACTAATGAAGCACTCTCCCTGTATAATTAAGTTGAATTTCAAAGGTTTTAATGAAAAACTTAGTCTTATTTTTCATCTCTATTTTAATGATTCTGTTTCTTAATCTAAATTTCTAATGGTTTTCTGATGCTTGGTTCATTATGCATATTTGAGATTATATGCTTTTTCTTTACAGAATTGATTTAATCCTACTGAAGAGACTAAGGGTTATTCCTGTTAATTTTATTATTTATAGGGACATTATTTATAATGTCTTAGGTTGAGAAACATGTCACTTCTAAAATTAAAAGTGTTTACTTTGTTCATATATTACCGTGACCCAAGACCTTAATGATTAAACGAGAGCTGGCGAAGGACTCTGAGTTAAGATCACAAAGTTGGGAAAGGTTTTTGCCAAAGTTCAAGCACAAAAATGTGAATAAACGCAAGGAACCAAAGAAGAAAACTGTTAAGAAAGAGTATACACCATTCCCACCACCACAGCCAGAAAGTCAGGTCAGTATTAAATGTTGAATTTTGTTACATGAGGGGGAAACCATTTTAATCTGTTTTGTCAGAAACTTTGAGGGTATTTTAGGTGGAATTTCTGTGGGTGTTTGGGTGTGTAGAGATGTAAGAATCTGAAGGTAAGTGTAAGTACAGTTGTTTTGAACTGACTGTGTGGAGATGGGGAGTGGCAGCCTCATATTGTGAGCGTAGAATGGCACCGGGGTGGCTGGCGGTGGTGGGTAGCTCTGCCCGTAGCCACTGTGTGTGCTCCACGGTTAGAAACGTTGGCAACCTAGCCCGCCGTGCCCTCAGTGCTGCTGTGGCCTCGTTCCTGTGACCCGTGCTGTATGTTTTGCTCTGGATTTCAAATCTTAACTTCTGATATCTGTCCTTTTTTAAAAAAAAAATTTTTTTTTTATTTGTCCTTTATTTAAAGATATGAATGCCTCTCATTTTGTGTACTGTCGTCTGGCATAATTTCCTTTTCTCTCTTGCCTGTTGCTGTTTTCTTTCATACTCCCCTTTTCTGTCACACCCTCTGACAGAGCCACTCTAAAACTTGCATCAGTTCTAAAACTTGACTTCTTTTCCCATAGTGTGGTTACTGAACATAGCTGAAGAGAGTCGTATCTTTGGATTATATCCCTTAAAAACTCACATTTCCAGCCTCAGATGGTCTTCAGCAGTATTATCTGGGTGCTTTGTGTCCTCTTAATTCTTTTGCCACCCTTCCACTCCCAGTAGATGATGTTGCTTTTTTTCCCCTCAAGTATTTGAGATTACCAGGCAACACTCTTTAACTTGCTCCTAGCTCACGGTTTTTTCCCCATCTGCCTCAGTCCATTCTTTGCTTATTCTCTGAGTTCTTTGTTCACCTGTCTGTTGGAGGATCTTTCTTCATTAGTCCCTCCCTTGGCTATATGTTGAAGTTTTTCCTTTAACCCGTCTTTTTCTTTATACTGTCTTGTCCTCCTCACAGCCCTTTGTTTGCAGGTTTTCAGGGAAGGTTTGATGAAAGGTCAAAGGTAAAAAAGGAATGATGATCATCATTGTAAAAAAAAAGTGTAAGTGTTGGATCTCGAGCTCTACATTGGAAAATAAAGTGAAGCCAGAAAGAAAGTGTTAGTTGGGGAGCAGTACTGCGTGACTCAGGAGCTAACGCGCGCTTCTGCAGCCCTGGCGTGCTCCAGGCAGCCTGTCCCATGCTCACTGCTCGTCTCATCTTCCTCTCCTGTGACTGTGAGCTGCTTGAGTCAGCAGTGTCTTGTTTGACTTACTCTGCCACTTATTTGCTACGTTCAGTCGCTCAGTTGAGTCCAACTCTTTGCGACCCCATGGACTGCAGCACGCCAGACTTCCCTGTCCATCACCAACTCTCAAAGCTTGCTCAAACTCATGTCCTTCGAGTAGGTGATACCATCCAACCATCTTATCCTCTCTCGTCCCCTTCTCCTCCTGCCTTCAGTCTTTCCCAGCATCAGGGTCTTTTCCAGTGAGTCAGTTCTTCGCATCAGGTGGCCAAAGGATTGGAGCTTCAGTTTCGGCATCAGTCCTTCCAATGAATATTCAGGACTGATTTCCTTAGGATTAACTGGTTTGATCTCCTTGCAATCCAAGGGACTCTTAAGAGTCCTCTCCAACACCACAGTTCAAAAGCATCAATTCTTTGGCACTCAGCTTTATTTATGATCCAGCTCTTATATCCATACATGACTACTGGAAAAACCATAGCTTTGACCAGACAGACCTTTGTTGGCAAAGTGATGTTTCTGCTTTTTAACATGCTGTCTAGGTTTGTCATTGCTTTTTTTCCAAGGAGTAAGCATCTTTTAATTTCATGGCTGCAGTTCACCATCTGCATTGATTTTGGAGCCCAAGAAAATCAAGTCTGTCACTGTTTCCATTGTTTCCCCATCTATGTGCCATGAAGTGATGGGACTGGATGCCATGATCTTAGTTTTATGAATGTTGAGTTTTAAGCCAGATTTTTCACTTCTCTCTCATGTTCATCAAGAGGCTCTTCAGTTCCTCTTCGCTTTATGCCATAAGGGTGGTGTCATCTACATATCTGAGGTTGTTGTTAATTATGAGCATAATTTAACACATCTGTGCCCCCAGTTTCTTCGTACATAAAATGGGGATGATGATCGTACCTATCTGAAAGAATTGTCTATGAGAATTTGAGAATTAAGTGAGTTAGTAATTGTAGAAAGGTTAGAAATAGTTTAGAGCATTGCCTCAGATAGATCAATTGTATGTTGACTATTTAATGAATGAGTGGTTACTTGCTCTAACTAGTATTTAGTCGCTACATCCTGACAATTCTTGCTTTTCATTTTGTATGGTGAACAAAATGAAACTTTAAAAAAAAACAGCAGGCTTTTTATCTCCTTTTTTCTGTTCCTTTTATAGTGTGACTTTGTTCTCTTCACTCTTCTCAGGAACCTTCAGTCATTTATGAATCACATCCCACCTCCCTTACCTGTCATCCATGTTTCTTCATGTCCCAGCGCCTTTCCAGGTGTCTCTCCTCACTTTTCTGAGCCCTTGGCCTTCCACCTCCCGTGAAGCAGCCTGCTGAGCGCTTCACGGCCACAGCACCTACCCTCCACCCGCGTGCGTTGTGTATGTGCACTCTCGGCAGCTCAGCGTACTCTTCCTTGTTTAGGCTGCTACGCTACAGAAGAGTTTCGGCCCTGCTGTCGTTACCTCGGGGTCACTGTGAATTTCTTAGGAACTGACTTCCCATCTACATGATTTCTGAAGTAATTGTAAATACATATTTCAACAGATTGATAAAGAATTGGCTAGTGGTGAATACTTTTTGAAAGCAAGTCAAAAGAAGAGACAGAAAATGGAAGCAATAAAGGTAAGACTGTCTAGCTGGCAACATTAATTGCAAAGTGCATAGATACTTTGGATTCTTACTTAACTGAAAAGTTTTTATTAATCATGTAGGCTAAACAAGCAGAAGCTCTCAGTAAGAGACAAGAGGAGAGAAACAAAGCTTTTATTCCGCCTAAAGAAAAACCAGTTCACCCGAAGAAACCTAAGGAAGGTAATGCTTTTCCCTGAGTCTTGTTATGATGCTGAAGTCTGCTAAAGGAAAAGGAAACCTAGAGTGAATTTGTCAAATCTCTGAATTCATGTTAAGAAATAGCCAAGTCTTTCACCAGTTCTCTCAGCGTTTCATTACTCACAGATCCTCGGGACAAGAGGTGACTGAGATAACGCATAGTTTAGCACCAGCTGATGCCTATTTGAGAGTGTCCCATGCTGGCAGCCGCTTCCTGATTGCTGCTGTGCTGAGGAAGGACCGTTTGTTTTGAAAGACAGAAGCCAGAGCAGGAAGTCCTCTATAGAAACAGCGGGAAGGTCCCCGAGCTCTGCTGTATGCCCCTTACAGAGCTTATCAAAGTTATGCTTTCTTTACTTGTACGATCTGTGACTTAAAACCTGAGGCTTGTATTGTTAACATGGATTTCTCATCACCTTGGGCTAAAACACCACCAACAGAATAGCAGGAATAGCTTTCTTACTCAGAGGCTATTAAAAAGACACTCAGAGAAAACATTCTTATTCCTGGCCTTGTTTTGACCTGCCTTCTCTTTTACATATTCTTTTCCACTAGTAACCCTTGTACTCTTCTGTAGAGTAACTCTCCAGAGTGGTCAGTGGCATAATGAGGGAGGGAGGTCACCAGCTGTGTTGTATGTACATCACCTGTTGGTCTAAGCCAGATGTAACATTACTATTTTGTTAATATATATCAGTGTTAACAACTTAAAAAATACTGTGTTCTACTTCTTAGATCATTGGTGATATAAAAGTTAAAAACATCATAAGCATCATAATTTTAAGTCTGTCAAGCTGGTCAGTTATGTAAGGTGTTCAAATGGTAGTTTAATCTCAGTTTAATACTGAATAAAGTGAAGCTGTTCCATTGTAGTGAAGGCCAAGTCTGCTCTCAAGTTGCTGGGGTGTTTGTATGATGACATTTTATCTTGTGGTTATTTTACGTCCTGAATACTGTTCTCTAAATGATAAGAAAAGTTGCAATTTTTTGCTGCTGCTTTTCTCTATTTTGTTCAAACTTTTGGTGTTAACTACATGGTTGGGTTCTGTTAGGACCTCCAGATACTCTCAGATTACTGTCTTTATTACCAAAATCTTGTTAAATGAAATAATACTAGTCATTAATTGAACTAATATTTGGAAAACTAAGTTTTTTAAAGAGTACTGTAAAGGTCCAGAATATGAAAACGAATATAAATAATAATATCAAACTATTTAAGGACAAAAATGTAATTTCAACATAGTTGAATCCAGTAATTGGTTCAAATAGTTAAAGTATAATGTCATTTTCATGTATATTCTTACTAGTGTGTTTAAGGACTTTGTTTTCTCCTAGTTTGAAGAAATTTCTAACTTTACTTTTAGCAGGTATTTTGTATTTTATAACATGACCTTTCAATTACAATAGTACTCTAAAATTATTCATATTTATGTAATCTTTGTTTTATTTGGTAAAATCTAAAGAATTACATGTATTGTTTTTTAATTTATTTAGCTTCTACTGAAACTAAAATTGATGTGGCTGCCCTCAAGGAAAAGGTTAAGAAAGCAAAGAATAAAAAACTGGGAGCTCTTACAGCTGAAGAAGTTAAGCTTAAAATGGAAGCAGATGAAAAGAAAAAGAAGAAAAAGTAACACAAACAAACCCTGAACTAAAATTTATTAAGCTCTCTCCTTTTGTAAAGGATTTTGAAATACTGTAGTTGGCAACACTAGTTGCCTTATCCATGAGAAGTAATACCCTGATCACTTTTTTCTGAGTTTGTGCTTTATTACAGTGTTAATATAAACAACTGTTCTTTATAAATTATTGTCCATATGTTTTTTGAAAAATTTTATACTAGAGAGTGGTATATATGTGTTTATATACATTGTATCTAATCTATTCCAGGCACGTTTTGCCTAAGCATGATTTTAGCAGTAATTTTTAAGGAGGTTTAGTCTTTAAATATAATCATGTCCCAGCATTTGGTTTTGAGAAAGTGCTCTAATGTAATCTCATTTACATTTTGTTCCAAAATTAATTAATAATCCAAAAAAGCAAGGCCTTTTAAATTAATTCCCTTAATTCTGTTCCAATCTGAGTCTGAGGAAGTAGTAAATCATAAGATATCAAACTGCAAGAGAACCTGGAAAACCAGATATTTAAAGCTGGCACAGCACGCATGAGGGGTTATATAGGAGTGTTTTTACTGATGAGGGCCGGTGCGGTTTCTCAGACCACCTACATCTAGCTCTCTCACTCTGCATATTTAGAAGCTGAGGCGGACAGGGGATAGAGCTTACTCATTGCAAGTCACAGCTGTGGCAGCCTGGAAACAGTGCTGCTGCTTAAAAAGGGGGAAGTCAAGATGAGTCTGTCCTGTAGTGCTAGGAAGATGAACCATTTTTTGAGTAAGGGTTTGCTGCAAATCAGAAATACACCCGGTTGTTACTAAAACAAAAACAAAACACCGTGTATGAATGAGGATTTTTTTCCTCCCTGGATTGTATTATTTCAAAGTAAATAAATGAGGGTATTTGCCCTTGGCCCACATGATAATTATAACACTCAGTATTAGGATTGGTGGGATAATTATGAGAAAAAGAGATGTGTTTCTGTCACGTGGATATATCGGCCAGTCTGGAAACACAATGGAGTAGTAACCTGTGAAACAGACATGAAATATACTCATTAATGTTGTCCCCCATAATGCAGTAACACAGCTCACATAGATAAAACAGTTTAAGGTTTATATACATACGTGTCACTTTGTCTCGTTGTGGGTTAGCTGTAAAATCAGAAGAAAGAAAAAAAATTAAAAGAATAGGTACTGGGGAGGGTTTTGTTTTAAGAGTCAAGTCTCTTAATTATAACCATTGACTGTTGCTTTGGCTTTACTGCAGTGATTTTCAAAGGTTAATTATTCAAGATTTTTTTTGTACTTACTGTAATAACTTGATATTTTTAAATCATCTTGTTTATATAAAACTTTTTATATATCACTAGTATAAATGTAAAGCCATTTTACATAAGCAGATAAAATAAATGTAATAAAAAAAATAAAAGTAATAATCAGTGTGAGCAATTTGTTAAAATACTTTCCTGAAAATAAGTTTCTCCCTGAGAAGAGTCGTCCTGTGATCAGTCAGTAGTAAAGAGTGTCCTCTCATCCGTTCTAGTCTGCCATTAACTTATTAATAGGGCATTTGGCTATCAAAAGTCATAACTACTCCTCTCCACTTGACATTCCAAGACCTGGGGAAAGAATCCCACATCTGCCATGGTCTTCTTACCTTTTATAAATGGTCACACACCTTTTCTACGCTGCTTCCGGGCCAGCTGCTGCTGCATTCCTGTGGTGGGGTCCTGATCCCTGCCTGCTCATGAGCATCTCTGGTCATCATGCCTGTGACTGGGCATTGTCTGCGGTGAATTGCCATTGAAGCTTCTGCTGCTTTAACTTTTTGGCAGTTACTTCCATGAAATCAAGGTGTGATGTGCTAGTTATATTTTTTCTTATATATATTTTTAAAAATGTTAAACATCCAACTTTTGAGTATTGAAACATCATCCATGCACAGGCACTAGCTCAAATCAGCTTCTGTACCATTGGTATTCCCAGTGCATTTTGCAAAACCATCCTAATTTGGCCTCCATTGGTATTTAGGGAACTGTTTATCTGGAAGACCACAAAAGGATTTTTTTCTTCCAGTGTTTGCTATAATTTGTCAGAGATGGACTCTGATAGATAAAAGCCTTTATCCTTCAGCCCTTACCCCTCTGCAAGTTAGCTTGTGTTTTCCTTTGTCTTTCTTAAGAGTCAGGGGTTTTTCATTATTACTGGACTGTAGTCTTAAATTTCTGAATTTTATCCCTCAAGATTAGAGACCATTTCAAGCTAGAGCTCCAAGATCAAAAGCTAAAAGTCCACAAGTTTTCTTCTTATTGTTCTGGTGCTGTTGTTACTAATTGTCTAGATTTTTAAAATATAATGATTAATAAAATATATGCAGTCAAATTAGTGGTCATTTGTCAGCCAGACTAGGCACTTAAGTTGGGTACAAAGGTGAATTAGATAGGCATGACTTAGTGTCTGTTTGGAATTCAGTCTAGTGGGAAAGACAGTTAACCAGTAGCAACAGTTAAATTACTCTTAACATAAATTAATTGTCTGTTCTCATCACTGATTCTAAAGAAGCATTGTGAGGATTGTTTGAGCATAAAAACATCACCTAAAACTTTGGGCATAAAGATGCTACCAGGATACCAAAGCAAACAAGATTGAGATTAGAGGGAGGATGAACTTGGGGATAATAGGTAATATTTATCAAGTGTGTGCCAGGCACTTGTTCCAGATTCTCTAAATGAAACTAATATGAGAGAAAAAATGGTTGAACTGCAGAAACATGACTGGCTCAGAAAGGTGGTCAAGTGTTGCTATATGGCTGGAGTAAAAATGAGAATTCAATGTATACAAATCAGGAAGAAGGAAACAAATAGTTGAAAAGAATTTTATAGTTTTAGACCTAGGAGGGACTTTGAAAACAAGTAAGCAATAGAACACTTTGGCCAAACAAAAATGTATGCTGTTAAACTCAGTCCATTCCAACCTTCTGCTTCGACCACCGCATACCAGTCTTGCATCCCTGAGAGGTTCAGTTGGTTACAGATAAAAGCACAAAAGTACTAGAGGATTTGCACAACTGTAGTAGCTTGATTGAGGTTTCCCTTCACACCGTGGCAAAAAAGTGAAAAAAAAAAAAAAAACAAAACTAAGAAGGAAAGGAATGTGTCTGGAACAGAAAATGTAAATGGACTCTTTCCCAACTGTGTATTAATAAAGTGATGTAAGGCATCCCTGGAAAGTTGTCTTCATGACCTTCTACACTGTTCCTCATTAAGTGCTGTCTTACTAGTAGAAAGTGCCACACTGCAACTTTTATTTCATTCAGTTCTGTAGATGAACATTTAACTCTTGAATGCTTTGGACAGGTAGAATTCTACCTGAACACAATTCAGAATTCTTTTGGTTAACTTTGTTACATTTTTGATCTGGCTGAAATTAGCAAATCTTGGGTCTATAATTTTCCATAATCAGAGTCATTTGTTGTTCTGTTTAGTGTTAACTATAAAGGGTATTTGCTTCTTTAAATTTCTCTTGAACATATATTCATTCCTAGGACAGTAGTAAGTCATTGCTTTGATTGCTACCTGATGCCCCCTTCCTGAAAAGAGCTATTAGGATAAAACAGATGTTTTCATTCTTCAGTCGCTCAGTTGTGTCTGACTCTTTGTGACTGCATGGACTGCAGCATGCCAGGCTTCCCTGTCCATCACCAACTCCTGGAGTTTACTCAAACTCATGTCCATTGAGTTGGTGATGCCATCCAACCATCTCATCCTCTGTTGTCTCATTTTCCTGCCTTGAATCTTTCCCAGCATCAGGGTCTTTTCAAATGAGTAAGTTCTTCACATCAGGTGGCCAAAGTTTTGAAGTTTAAGCTTCAGCATCAGGCCTTCCAATGAATATTCAGGACTGATCTGTAGAAAGTTACAAGAGTTTTGAACACATTGTATTATTGGTAGATTGTTCCTTTTACTCACTGCAAAGATTATCCAAACAGTTGTCACTCCTGGGGCAGGCACTGCACGTGGATCCTTTCTTATATGGCCAGGTTGGGTAATTGCCTCTGTGAAGTAGAAGAAAACTATCCATTAGGAAGTTTTTCTCCCCCGACTCCCCGCCCCCAATTGGAATTTATCATGGGCCTTGGCTAAACACTGGACTTCCCGCATAGCTCAGTCAGTAAAGCATCTGCCTGCTACGCAGGAGACCTGAGTTCAGTTCCTGGGTTGGGAAGATCCCCTGGAGAAGGAAATGGCAACCCACTCCAGTATTCTTGCCTGGAGAATCCCATGGACAGGGGAGCCTGACAGGCTATGGTTTATGGGATCGCAAGAGTCAGATATGACTGAGTGCTGTCTTCTTTTTGGCTAAATCCTAGGATTGAAGTCCACAAATTCAGATTGATGAGAGAAGTGGAAAGAGGGAAGCAGAAATGGAAGCCTGCTAATATTTGCCAAATTCATTCTAAGTGCCAGTGTTTAGGAAACTTTGTCTTAATCATCTCAGTTAATTCCTGAGACAACTCTGGGAGAAAGTTATTTTTATTTCTGTTTTCAGGTAAGGAAACTACAGCTCAAAGATTAAGTTGCCAAAAACCACAATGTACAGATATCAGAGTCAACGAGACCTAGATTTGATTTTAAAGAAATGTTCCCTCTATCCAATGTCTGGCCTGTGTGATCACTGCCATCCATAAAACTGTCCATCTTAGAAAAGCTCTCAGGACCCACATTTTTGTTCTCAGTCCAGCAAATCTCCATGGTTTTTCTTGGATAGGAGCCATTTGGCTGGGGTAAGGGTCTTCCAAAAGAAAATAACAAGAGCTATGAGGGAGTTCCTAAAGTGCAATTTATTTTCACATAAAAGATGTGACACAGATAACATATTACTGAATACTCATGTACTAGGCACTGTTCCAAGTAGTCTTGAATGAATCAATCTTCACAATAACCTAATGCAGAAGATACTAATTTTTTTTAATCCCCATAGCTAGAGGCTTAACACTCTGTTAAGTAACTGACTAGGATCAGCTCAGAAAGTAAAATAATATCCAAACAATTTATATCTCCATAAATAACTTTGGAGTAGTAATGATGAGAGGCTGTACATTTATTTCAATGAACTTGCCATTGCACTAATCTTGTTTTGGAACTCTGCTTTTGGGAAGCAGTTCTTGACTTTTTCATGTCGTGGACCCTTTGGCAGCCTGGTGGAGCCTATAGGTTCTTTCTCAAAACAGTTTTAAAATAGCTAAAATAAAATTCATAGGATTATAAAGTAATGGCTGATTCATGTCAATGTATGGCAAAAACCACTACAATACTGTAAAGTAATTAGCCTCCAACTAATAAAAATAAATGGGAAAAAAAGTAAGCCAATTAAATTGAAATAAATATTAACATGTTAAAAATACTCGTGATGTACAAACATACTTCTCTGTGTATTAGGTCAGAACAGCAAGGAGTCTGGCACCCCAGTGGTGCTAATGGTAAAGAACCCACCTGCCAGGGCAGGAGACGGAAGAGATGGGAGTTTGATCCCTAGGCTGGGAAGATCCCCTGGAGAAGGAAATGGCAACCCACTCCAGTGTTCTTTCCTGAAGAATCCCATGAACAGAGTAGTCTGGTGGGCTATAACCCATGGGGGTCCCAAGAAATCAGACACAACTGACGCAGCTTAGCACAGCACAGCAGGGAGTCTAATAATTAACAGTAATTTTAGTGATGGATACAAACTATATTTTGAGAGAACTACAACTAGAATGTGATATGAACATATCTGACATTTATAAAGTCACAGGTAGTGCTGTCCAATCATAAGTATTGCTGATATGACTGGAGTGTTAATTCATAAAAAATATTATTTTCTATAGAAGTTAGTGAAAAAGATGTAACCTTTTTCTATTTCAAATTCATGGACTCCTATCCTCTAATGCTATATATTTATTTTCAAAGTTAAGAACTCTCCCCTTAAGAGACATTACTTTTTACTAACACCTCAATTCCAACTAAAAATACATGTTCAAATCCTTTGGCTCCAAATTAATTTAGGTTGTTTCAGAAATTAAATTTAGCTCCATGCTTACTCTACACTGTGGAAAATAGTCTAAGGAATATAGTAGAGGTTCTGATAACAACTATGGAAGATTCAAAATTGACATTAGTCCTTGGGATATCTTTCATTGTTAAAAAGCACAGTACACTCTGAGTTAAATTCTAGAATGTTTTTAATGAAATCACTTATACCACTTCATACTTTGTTTAATTTTGCATTCTGTACTATTAAGAAGAGGAAAAAATTGCTACTTCAAAAACAAGCTAAAAGTAAGGCAGTTGTGACTTGCAGTGAAATGGCAGAATTCACCTTGGGAAAAAAATGCTCTGCAAAGACCTAGATTTTGTCTAGAAGGCAATGATTAAGACTAAGAGACCTACAGACTCTATGCAATAGAGATAAAAGCAAAAATAAACAAACGAACCTAATCAAACTTACAAGCTTTTGCACAGCAAAGGGAAACTACAAATAAAATGAAAAGACAACCTATGAATTGGGAGAAAATATTTGCAAATGGTGTGACCCACAAGGATTAATTTCTAAAATATACAAATAGCTCATACAGCTCAATAACAAACCAATCAAAAAATGGATAGAAGATCTAAACAGACATTAATCCAAAGACATGCAAATGGCCAACAGGCACATGAAAAGATGCTCAACATCACTAATATTAGAGAGATGTAAATCAGAACTACAGTGAAGTACCACCTCACACTGGTCAGAATGGCCATTGTTAAAATGTCTACAAATAACAAATGCTGGAGAGGGTGTGAAGCAGAGGGAATATATATGGAATATAACTGACCGTAAAAAGAATGAAATAGTGTTATTTGCAGCAACACGGATAGACATAGTAATTACACTAGGTGAAGTAAGAAAGACAAATACCATACCTGTCACCTAGATGTGAAATCTAAAATATGACACAAATTATCTGCAAAGGAGAAACAAACATAGAGAGCAGACTTGCGGCTGCCTGAGGATAAGGTGGGGGAGGCTAGATTAGGGGTTTGGGATTAGCAAATCAAACTGTTCTATCTGTATAACTGAATTGGGCTTCCCTGGTGGCTCGGTAATAAAGAATCCACCTGCCAATGTGGGAGACGTAGGTTCAATCCCTGGGTCAGGAAGATCCCTGGGAGAAGGAAAAGGCAACCCACTCCAGTATCTTTGCCTGGAAAACCCCATAGACAGAAGAACATGGCAGGCTGCAGACCATGGGTTTGCAAGAGTCAGACATGACTTTGCGGCTAAACAACTGAATCACTTGCTGTAAATCAACTATACTTCAATAAAGTAAAATTTTACAAAAAGAGACAAGGGAACCTAAGTATTCTGCCCAATAGAGAAGTAGGAAGTGTCAGTGTTTCCTCTGGTTGCCTGAGGGTTGGGACCCTGGGACTCTGGTGAAGAGAAAAGACAGATCTTTATAAAGAAAAGCTTAGATATGAATAACAGTACCCGAGGCAGTGATGGCCAAAGTATGCTGGGTCCTGCACCGCTTATGGGAGCGGTTGTCTGCACTTCGGTGGCATGATCATCTCTTCAGCCGTCTGCGTGGAGGTGGGGCCCACGATGATGAAGAGGAGTCTCTTCTCGCTGCTGCAGATCGGGGCGACCCGAGGTGACCGGGAGGAGGGGAGTCACCGCGGTCCGAGGAAGCAGAAACAAGCCGAGGGCAGGAGTCCGGAGCTGAGTGCGCAGGACTGGAGAACTAAGTGCCCGGAGCCCTTTCGAGGGAATGTCAGAAACACTGGGAAGGGACTCGACTTTTTAGAATTACGTGGAAGTGGGGAGCCTATAACTTCTTGTGTAGAGAAGGAGAAACAGGCTCAGACGGCACACGGGCCCTCTTCACTGGTCCCTGGGCTCCCCTCCACGCGCCTTCCAATCCTTTCCCCACAGGCACGCCCAGTGAGCTACAAATTTAAGGCAAGTCTTGTCACCTTCTGCTTAAATTACCTGGATGGCTTCAGCTTGTGATGTGGATAAAGTTAACCTGCAGTGGCCCACAAGGCCCTGGGTGATCTGAGCTTCCTCCTTCTGCCCAGCTTCATCTGATTCACAGTCCAAGCACCCAGGTCTTCTGTCTGTTCTATCATCCTTTCCACAGGAGCTGGTCTTTTGTTTTCACAACTGAATATCTAACTGTTTCTGAGATTCTTCACATGTCTGGTTCCTTCTCACTCTTCGTGCCTAAGCTTAAATACATCGCAGAAAGCCCTTCCCTGAGCATTTTATCTCAAACAAGGGCCCTGCCTACTCATAGTGTCAATACAGCATTATTTCTATTTCCAGCATGGCTCGTATCATCATGAAGTTATTTAATCTGTATTTTACTGTCTGAATGCCACAGACAATAAACTCCAAAGGGGCAGGACTGTGTCTGGCTTGTTGTCCTATGAAGCTGAGTAAACAAATATTTATTGAATAATTGAATGAATATTTGCTTTTATTTGGATGAATAAATGAATGTTACTCAGTGTTCATAGAAACATTGTGTAATGTGCTGTGGTTAGTTACTCAGTCGTGTCCAACTCTTTGCTACCCCATGGACTGTAGCCCACCAGGCTCCTCTGTCCATGGAGATTCTCCAGGAAAGAATGCTGGAGTGGGTTGCCATGCCCTCCTCCAGGGGATCGTCCCAACCCAGGGATCGAACCCAGGTCTCCCACATTGCAGGTGGATTCTTCACCATCTTAGCCACCAGGGAAGCCCAAATATAAATTTGCTTAAAAGTTTTACAACTTAGTTTTGTTTAAATCTCTGAAATCAAGAAAAGTGAGTTTAAACCACAAGAACTCCCTTTTGTACCTTATTATTAAGGACATGCACTCATCTCTCCTTCTGCGAGAACAACAAAATTGCAACTAGCTGAACAACCATTGACAAGAGGACCTGGAACCCACTAAAAAATTTATCCCACACCCAAAGACAAAGAAGCTGCTTCAGCAGGATGATACTAAGGGCGGAGTAGAAGGACGTGTCTTCTCTTCTCTTGCGAGA